CAGAAGGGAATTGGTGAGGCTCTACTCACCAACGCGCCCCTGGGGGGGTCACAAGAAATAATGGCCATAAGCTAGCAGAGAGCAGATTTAGACTGGACATTAGGAGGAACTTCTTCACAGTTAGAGAGGCCAAGGTCTGGAATGGGCTCCCAAGGGAGGTGGTGCTCTCCCCTACCCTGGGGGTCTTCAAGAGGAGGTTGGATGGGCATCTAGCTGGGGTCGTCTGAACCCAGCACTCTTTCCTGTCTATGCAGGGGGTCGGACTCGGTGATCTATTGAGGTCCCTTCCGAATCTAACATCTATGAATCTATGAATCTACCCCTGACAGCCAGATGTGGAGCTGGGAGGTGGCATGCAGCTAGATGCAAAGCACAGTGGCGGGAAGACACAGGATCATGGCTGGGGCAGGGCAGGGAAGCTCACCAGGCTGGTGGCGCCAGCTGCCATGTGCAAGTTTCCCAGCCTTGCAGAGGGGCATTACTGCCCTTGCCCTGCCCCGGCCCTGCTCCTGGGAGGCGGCGGTGCTCTGTTCCCACCTGCCTGTGCATACCCCCTAGGAGGGTGGCAAAATGCGGCCCAGCAGGCTATCTTATCTGGCCCACACGGCCCCTTAAAAATTTAGAATATTAATATTTATCTGCCCCTGGCTGCCTGTCATGTGGCCCTTGATTCATAGTTTCATAGTTTCTAGGGTCAGAAGGGACCTGAGCAGATCATCAAGTCTGCCCCCCTGCCATAGCAGGAAAGAGTACTGAAGTCAAACAACCCCAGCAAGGTGTTCATCTAGCCTTGTCTTAAAGACTCCCAGGGTAGGAGCCAGCACCACTTCTCTTGGAAGTTGGTTCCAGATCCTAGCTGCCCTGATGGTGAAGTAGCGCCTCCTGATGTCTACTCTAAATCTACCCTGTGCCAGCTTGTGACTGCTATTTCTTGTCACTCCTGGGAGTGCTCGGGGGAACAAGGACTCCCCCAATGCCTGCTGGTGCCCCCGAGCTAGTTTGTAAATGGTCACTAGATCCTTCTCTTGTGGAGGCTGAACAGGTTCAGGTTCCTTAGCCTTTCCTCGTAGGGCTTGCCCTGCTGCCCCCTTATCATGCAAGTGGCCCTC